TAATTTTTATGGTTGTGAATTTTGCAACCACTTGTCCTCAGACAGAAACCAAGAAAATTATTCATGGCTTCATAATGGGATTTCTCTGAACACTCTTCTTTCCTGAGAAATATCATAGGATCTCTCTGATGTTTCATGATTTTCCCCCCCCCATAAACAACATCAAGACGTACAGAGTTTTACCATTTCTAGGCTGAATATTAAACTTGCTGTACTGTATTTACCTGGAATAGAAACTCCATGTTGCACAAAGTTATTACAATTCCTGCACAGAGTGGCACTTTTTCTGAGCAGAATTGACTAGAAAGGACATTAAGCTATGCAGAACATGGTTGTTTCCTGTGCAAATCACAATGGAAGATGCCAGAGAGAAAAAGCAAAAGAATAGGAGAAAAGCAAGGTGGCACTGGTTTGAGTGGAGACTGCAGGTCAAAATGGTGAAGATAAAAGTATTAAATGGGGTTGAGATAGCAACGTGCTAGTTTGTGTCATCAGGTTATCTAATTAATCTAATTAATTGTCTGGAGCTGCCACTGATCCTTCCTATGGTTTATATGTTTAACATTTTTGGGACTCATACATCTAACATCTGCCCTGTCCCATCTTATAAACATCTTGGATTTGGATTGGAACATGCATGAGTCCTGGGCAGTTGACACGATTCCTCCCAAGTGCTCTCTGCTCCAAAACTTGATCCTTTCCCTTGTTCACTGGGGAGTTTCAAGCTATTATGTTATCTAAGAGATGCCTGGAGACCAGGTGAAGGAAAGACCAACTGGACGAAAATCTGACTGCAGTAAAGATCCTGACGAGGAGGTGTGCCAACGCTATAAAATATGTGAAAAGGGCTCTCAATATTAAGATAATTAGGTGACCCTAAATGGACAACTAAAACAAGTAAGGAAAGTTGCAATCAAAATATATATTAAAGTTCCAGGCTGATGAGATTCATTAGGCATCCTTCAGTCTCGAGGGACTATGGTAACGTGCTCTATATGGAGGCCTTGGAACAGTGTCTAGTGTGGCTGAGAAGGCCAGTTTGAGAGTGACAATCCCTTCCACACTGAAGACAAATACAGTCTGTCCCCTGATCCAGCTCCCTGACCTTGCTGGTTTCGGGACTCCCTCTTTGCCTCAGCCTGCTGCCTCTTCAAATTGGGAGATGACATGATGCATTGCCTGCCTCCAGGCTGAATGCTCAGATGTCAGGGTTTCCCATCTGTTCAGGCTGATTCTCACTTGCAGATATCCTTGTATCCCAGCTGTGGTTGCCCTCTAGGGTGATTTCCCTGCACTAACTCTCCATGGAATCTGACCATCAGCCATTCTCATGACATGCCCAAGCCAACGTAGACATCACTATTTCAGTAATGTATACATGCTAAAAATTCCAGCTCGTTCTAGGACTACAATATTTGGAACTTTGTTCTGCCAGGTGATACTAAAAATACGTCAGACACAACACATATGGCACGTGTTCAGCTTGCTCTCCTGCCGTGCATAAAGGGTCCAGGACTCACTGCAGTACAGGAGTGTGCTCAGGACACAGGCTCTATAGACCTGGATCTTGGTACATGTTGTCAGCTTCTTATTAAGCCATATTCTCTTTGTGAGTCTAGAGAACATGGGAGCTGCTTTGACAATGCATTTATCCAGCTTGACATCTAGGGAGAGAGTGTCAGAGATCATTGAGCCTCGTAAACAAAGTCACAAACAACCTCCAATTCTTGCGTGGAGATGGTAATAGAGGGAGGTGAGTCCACGCCCTGGCCCAAGACTTGTGTTTTCTTCAGGCTGATTGTTAATCCAAAATCTTGACAAGCCTTGCTAAAACAATTGATGAAAAAATCTTGGCAAGCCTTGCTAAAACAATTGATGAATTGCTGGAAGTCTTCAGCAGAATGGGCAACAACAGCTGTATAATTGGCGAAGAGGAAGTCTCGTATGCATTTCAATTGGACTTTGCTCTTTGCTCTTAATCTAGAGAAATTAATGAGTTTTCCATTCGATCTAGTCCA